TGAGACTATACTGCCAAATCTGTAAGTCTGGATAGGCTATATTTTATTAAAATAAGATTTATTTGTTATAATCTCTCTTCTTATCTAGCTTATCAATGGTACAGCTAGAACGCCTGTGGTGTTGTTTTAGAGCTGCTAGAAATGGGCTAGTCTACACTAAAATGGCTAGTTAGTTATGAGCTCATAATTCAGCCTGTAGGGTGCAAGGTGGTCTAAATATAAAATTCAGTAGGGGCCCCTCTGACAATTTTGTTACCTCTTATGTCCTTAGAGTTTTGGACAACAATACACTTTAATATAAATAAGTTTATTCTACAAAACCAAAAACAAAGATACATAAAAAAAAAGAAACTGAGGCAATCCCAAAATTATGTAAATAGGAGCCAGCGCTGTTAGGGAAAGTATCCTTCACTCCAAATGGAAACAGCCCAAGTTCTACAACTCAAGTAAATGTCTGAATGACTGGCCTAGGTAAATAGTGAAAGTTCATGTTCTTAAAGTGGAGCTAAACATTCCTGTCATTCACAGCTGACATTTTGTGGTGCTGTACATTTGAACAGCAATGTCACCAATCATTTGAGGCTTTGAAAGTCCAGTTAAAGCATTTCTATGATCGAAATGCTAAATCATATATTAATTTCCACATTGTATTTCAACTACAGTATTTCTAGGCCATTCCTATTAATCTAAATGATCTTGGAGTTTGCATACTTACTTTTGTAAAGACCCCCATACATTTACGTCCTTGAATTCTGTGACAATCACTATGCCCTGTGAGTAGGTACTGCTGTGTCACACATTTCACAGAGTCTGCCTCCTGAACTACAGAGGCGCCAAGAGGAGGAATTTCAGGAGGTGGGATCAGTACAGGAATCACTGATTACAGACCACAAGGTACCATGGGACATGTAGTCCTTCGACATTGAAAGTGGACAGCAGAGGAGAAGCTGCAAAGCATGCAGGGAATCCAGAAGTTGTGGAAAGAGATGACCGGCAGAACTCACAACATGAAAAGACATTTAAGCACGTACACTTATATTGGATTGTCAAATATTGCTATTACAATGTTGATGTTATAAAATAAAAAAGCAGTGGTTCTCAACCTTCCTAAGGCCGCGACCCCTTAATACAGTTCCTCATGCTGTAGTGACCCCCAACCATAAAATTATTTTCGTTGCTACTTCATAACTGTAATTTTGCAGTGGGAGGAGTAGTGCCACGTCATTGGTGTCAGTGGGAGGAATAGTATCCCATCACTGATGTCAATGGGAGGAATAGTGCCCCATCATTGGTATCAGTGGTAGGAATAGTGCCCCATCATTGGTGTCAGTGGTAGGAATAGTGCCCCATCATTGGTGTCAGTGGGAGGAATAGTGCCCCATCATTGGTGTCAGTGGGAGGAATAGTGCCCCATCATTGGTGTCAGTGGGAGGAATAGTGCCCCATCATAGGTGTCAGTGGGGGATAGTGCCCCGTCATAGGTGTCAGTGGGGGAATAGTGCCCCGTCATTGGTGTCACGTGTCAGTGGGAGGATTAGTGCCCCGTCATTGGTGTCAGTGGGAGGAGTAGTGCCCGTCATTGGTGTCAGTGGGAGGAGTAGTGCCACGTCATTGGTGTCAGTGGGAGGAATAGTGCCCCATCATAGGTGTCAGTGGGAGGAATAGTGCCCCATCATTGGTGTCAGTGGGGGGAATAGTGCCCCATCTTAGGTGTAAGTGGGGGGAATAGTGCCCCATCATAGGTGTCAGTGGGGGGAATAGTGCCCCATCATAGGTGTCAGTGGGGGGAATAGTGCCCCATCATTGGTGTCAGTGGAAGGAATAGTAGTGCCCCATCATTGGTGTCAGTGGAAGGAATAGTGCCCCATCATTGGTGTGAGTGGGAGGAATAGTGCCCCATCATTGGTGTCAGTGGGAGGAATAGTGCCCCATCACTGGTGTCAGTGGGAGGAATAGTGCGCCATCACTGGTGTCAGTGGGAGGAATAGTGCCCCATCACTGGTGTCAGTGGGAGGAATAGTGCCCCATCATTGGTGTCAGTGGGAGGAATAGTGCCCCATCATTGGTGTCAGTGGGAGGAATAGTGCCCCATCATTGGTGTCAGTGGGAGGAATAGTGCCCCATCATTGGTGTCAGTGGGAGGAATAGTGCCCCATCATTGGTGTCAGTGGGAGGAATAGTGCGCCATCACTGGTGTCAGTGGGAGGAAAAGTGTCCCATCACTGGTGTCAGTGGGAGGAAAAGTGCCTCAACATTGGTATCAGTGGGAGGAATAGCGCCCCCATCACTGGTGTCAGTGGGAGGAATAGTGCCCCATCGTTGGTATCAGGGGGAGGAATAGCGCCCCCATCACTGGTGTCAGGGGGAGGAATAGTGCCCCATCGTTGGTATCAGGGGGAGGAATAGTGCCCCATCGTTGGTATCAGGGGGAGGAATAGTGCCCCATCGTTGGTGTCAGTGGGGTAAGGAATAGTGCCCCATCGTTGGTGTCAGTGGGGGGAGGAATAGTGCCCCATCGTTAGAGCCCCATGGTGTCAGTGGGGGGAGGAATAGTGCCCCATCGTTGGTGTCAGTGGGGGGAGGAATAGTGCCCCATCGTTGGTGTCAGTGGGGGGAGGAATAGTGCCCCATCGTTGGTGTCAGTGGGGGAGGAATAGTGCCCCATCGTTGGTGTCAGTGGGGGGAGGAATAGTGCCCCATCGTTGGTGTCATTTGGGGGAGGAATAGTGCCCCATCGTTGGTGTCAGTGGGGGGAGGAATCGTGCCTCATCGTTGGTGTCAGTGGGGGGAGGAATCGTGCCTCATCGTTGGTGTCAGTGGGGGGAGGAATAGTGCCCCATCGTTGGTGTCAGTGGGAGGAATAGTGCCCCATCATTGGTATTAGTGACACCAATGATGGGGCACTATTCCTCCCACTGACACCAATGATACTTACCTTGCTGACCCCTGCTCCAGCCTGGGCTCGCTCGCTCCCTCCCTCTCCCATGGTACAGACACTTACCGGTCAGCTGTCTTCCTTCTCCGGCCGCTCTCCTCCTCTTCACTCGCTCGATCTTCGCGGTGCCGCTTGGCTCCTCCTCTCCAAGCTCCACCTCCTCGCCGGTGATTGGCCGCCTGTGTGCCTCTCCTGAGCTACAGTGCCGGCGGCCAATCACCGGCGGGGATTGATCCCGAGGGTGTGTCCAGATGACAGGGGCGGCATGTCATCCCGCCCACACCTGGAGACGGATAGAGCAGCGGTGTCTCGGTTCCTAAGACCATCGGAAATATGTGTTTTCCGATGGTCTTAGGCGACCCCTGTGAAAGAGTCGTTCGACCCCCAAAGGGGTCGCGACCCCCAGGTTGAGAACCGCTGTATAAAAGGATACTGAGACTACAGAACTCAATTAAGAGCTAATAAGCACACTGACAACTGTGTCAGTTATCACCAGAGGCATGCCTTGGATGTAACTGTTTTGGGAGGTAGCTGAATCAGTGGATTTAGTTCTCCTCTTCATAAATGAGACAAAGTAAAATGTATTGTCATGAAGTTATAAAACCATTTAGAACCACTTACCACCTACAGTGCCAATTCATTTTACCTTTTTAACTATTGTGGAAAGCACGTGTTTCTTTTTATTGTCTTGCTATTGTTTTATTTTGCTGATCTACTAATAAACTTACTCTGGCCTTACCCTTGCATATATGAAGCCGGTGCAGGATTTCTAGATCCTTCCCCTGCATGGCATTGTGGAATGTGCAGTAGAAACACAACTTCCAGCCTGTTCCTGTTGTGTTGCTGTATACTGCTGAATGGATGAAGAAAAAGCACAGCCTGCTCAGTTAGAGTTGGTGCTCAGTTTTCTTCTTTAATCTCAGTCAGCTAAAAACAGGCAGTAACAGTAGAGCTGGTGGGTCAGAGCTCCAGCAATCAAAGTGATTAGGCAATGGCTTCAGCCAAAAGCTGCACATATACACTATATTGCCAAAAATATTGGGATGACTGCCTTTACATGCACATGAACTTTAAAGTCATTCCGGTCTTAGACTGTAGGGTTCAATATTGAGTTGGCTCACCCTTTGCAGCTATACCAGCTTCAACTCTTCTGGGAAGGCTGTCCACAAGGTTTAGGAGTGTGTTTATGGGAATGTTTTACCATTCTTCCAGAAGCACATTTGTGAGGTCGAGCACTGATGTCGGAAGAGAAGGCCTGACTCGCATTCTCCGCTCTAATTCATCCCAAAGGTGTTCTATCAGGTTGCGGTCAGGACTCTGTGCAGGTCAAGTTCCTCCACCTTAAACTTGCTCATCCATGTCTTTTTGGACCTTGCTTTGTGCACTAGTGTGCTGTAATGTTGGATCAGGAAGGGGCCATCCCCAAACTGTTCCCACAAAGTTGGGAGCATGAAATTGTCCAAAATGTCTTACTATGCTGACGCCTTAACAGCTCCCTTCACTGGAACTAAGGGGCCAATCCCAACCCCTGAAAACCAACCCCACACCATAATCCCTCCTCCACCAAACTTTACACTTGGAGCAATGCAGTCAGGCAAGTACTGTTCTCCTGGCAACTGCCAAATCAGATACATCCATCAAGTTGCCACACAGAGAAGTGTGATTGGTCACTCCAGAGAACACATCTCCACGGCTTTAGAGTCCACTGGTGGCATGCTTTACATCACTGCATACGACGCTTTGCATTGCACTTGGTGATACAAGACTTGGATGCTGCTGCTCAGCCATGGAAACTCATTCCATGAAGCTCTCTATGCACTGTTGTGCTAATCTGAAGGTCACACAAAGTTTGGTGGTCTTTAGCTATTAACTCTGTAGACAGTTGGCGACTTCTGCACACTCTGCGCTTCAGCATGCACTGACCCCGCTCTGTCATTTTACATGACCTACCACTTCCTGGCTGAGTTGCTGTTGTTCCCAGTTGCTTCCACTAAAACCACTAAGAGTTGACCGTGGAATATTAGCAAGGAAATTTCAGGGATGGACTTATTGCATACGTGGCAACCTATCACGGTAGCATGCTTGAATTCACTGAGCTCCTGAGAGCGACCCATTCTTTCACAAATGTTTGTAGTAGCAGTCTGCATGCCTACGTACTGGATTTTATACACCTGTGACCACGGAGGTGATTGGAACACCTTAATCCAATTAATTTGGCAAGATATATATATATATATACAGTCATGGCCGAAATTGTTGGCACCCTTGATATTTTTCCTGAAAATCAAGTATTTCACACAAAAAAAGGTATTGCATTAACACATGTTTTGCTATACACATGTTTATTCCCTTTGTATGTATTGGAACAAATATAAAACAGAGGCAGAAAAGCAAATATGACATAATGTCACACAAAACCCCCAAAAATGGGCTGGACAAAAGTATTGGCACCCTTAACTTAATATTTGGTTGCACACCCTTTGGAAAACATAACTGAAATCAGTCACCTATAACCATCAATAAGCTTCTGACACCTCTTCACCCGGAATTTTGGACCACTTTCCTTTGCAAACAGCTCCAGGTCTCTCTTATTGGAAGGACACCTTTTCCCAACAGCAATTTTCTTAAGATCTCTCCACAGGTGTTCAATGGGATTTAGATCTGGGATTGCTGGCCACTTCAGAACTCCTTCATTGCCACCATTTCTGAGTGCTTTTTGACTTATGTCTTGTCCTGCTGAAACCCAGGATCTGTACCTGGGCACAGTGCTGACCCAAATCTTTGGTAATCTCAGATTTCTGATGCCTTCACACAGTCAAGGCACTTCCAGTCCACTCTAAAACAACCTTCATCATTGAAGCGCACACCAGTCGAAGTAGGTACTTCTTTCCTGCCGTTTTCGACCAGATGTAGCGTTTACCGAAAAGCTCTATGGTCTCATTGTCCACAAGACGTTTTCCCAGAAGGCTTTGGCTTACTCAAGTACATTTTGGCAAACTGTAGTCTTGCTTTTTTTTATGTCTCTGTGTTAACAGTGGGGTCCTCCTTGGGTCTTCTTATGCCATTGCGTTCATTTCATGTGAAAATGTCGAATATTCGCACACTGATGCTTCTCCTGCAGGACAGCTTCCTTTGGACCATTCTTTGGGGCCTTCCACCATGGACTATTTGCGTTGCAACTTTCACACCATTAAATGTCTACGACCAGGAGCTTAGTACAGTCACATGTCATTTTTGAAAGCTGCGCAACTAATTTCTCTGGTGCTTGTAACCTTATGCTTGATTTTGCCACAATTTTTGCTCGGTGACATCCACAGGTGTTTTCTGTTACCATGATGGAAAGCACCTGTTAAGTGAACCTCTGTTCTTCAGAGTGGTAATCTCTTTAAGGGGTTGATTTCTATATTGTGGCAATGAGTGCCCCCAGGTGAGTTTTACAGAATCACATGCTTGAACCATTCTTACTTATTACATAAACAATATTTTGTCATTTTAGTTGCATTTGGGTAGTTACAACGTCTTGTAGGATTTGATTCTGAATACAATTCCAAATGTACACTATAGTCCCTAAACCCCTTTACAGCATTGGGGGTTGAATAATTTTGGACACAACTGTATATATATATATATATATATATATACACACACACACACACATATACATTATATTGCCAAAAGTATTGGGATGCCTGCCCTTACACGCACATGAACTTAAATGGCATCCCAGTCTTAGTTGGTAACGGTTCAATATTTAGTTGGCCCACCCTTTGCAGCTATAAAATCAACTCTTCTGGGAAATTCTGTCCACAAGGTTTAGGAGTGTCTATGGGAATGTTTGACCATTCTTCCAGAAGTGCATTTGTGAGGTCAGGCACTGATCTCAGACGAGAAGGCCTGGCTTGCAGTCTCTGCTCTAATTCATCCCATTGGTGTTTGGTGAAAGTGTTTCCTTTTTGGTTTACATTCATTTACTTTTTTGTACCTAATAAAGCTATGATTTTATTGACTCACCACTGCTCTTCTCATTGGAGCCTCTTTTTGGTGTGGAACTCCCATCAGGCTCTCACACCTAATCCTTGGTGTACTGGCTGTACCTATACCTGTTGCTCCCTGGGCAGAGTGGGAGTTTTTTGTCAGAGCTCCCTTGTGCCTGCATCCTTGTGCATGAACTGCATCCTGGTGCATGAACTCATTTAATTTCGTTTTTTTTTTTTTTTTTTTCTGTTCATACATTTTGAGGGTTTGATAGACAAAAAACATATTTATTTTATTATTTTTGAAGGCATCCTCACTTTACAGCATGTTTAAGTGTCTTAAACTTTTCCACAGTACTGTATATTAGACATACAGTATATTATATTAGACATTCCATAATTGTATTCTACAGTGGTTTATTATATATACTGTGGCATATACGCAATTCATTATCTAGTATCAAAAATAAAAAAAAGCTTAAGAAATATATCTTAGATGTAAGTAAGCAGAATGTAGAACAGTGTGTGTTCATCAGGAACAAATGCCAGGAGCAGAAAGTGACAACCAGTTATGGAATGCATCAGCTACATGAAAGTATCCCACATTGGTTAACAAAGTATCACGCACCCAGGATAAGTATGAAGTAATCTATTGTACTCCTCTGCTTATACAATATATGTAAAAACTAACAGTAACAGTAAACTGCAGAAGTGACTTTGAAGATCAGAAACTGACTTTCAAGAGTGGTCAGTGGAGAAGATAGTTTTAGGAGAGCAATATGTAAATGACAAAACCCATGGAATTGATTAAATCCTGAGGATTTAGTCCAATGAAAGCCTGCCAGAGGTTCTCGCCCATCCTTACTCTAGCCAAAAACATAGAAAAACTTTGCATGGAGGTCCAGTTATTAAATTATACACTGCATAACGCTTATCAATATGCTGGATATTGCTCTTGTGAAACTGAACACTGAATAAAAACATATATTTGAACCAAATTATATACTGAAAATGTATCTTCTATTGAATGTGTGTAAATTAAATGATTGCATTTAATGCATTAAAGTGCAATTCTAGAAAACAAGTCTATGAACTGCTAATGCTGAATAGGAAACACTGCAATAGTAGTGAAGTCAAAAAGTGCAATCTGTATAACTGATATACTGTATATCCCACTATAGTGTGTACTTGTCTGAATCCAGGGCACTAAGTGTCATTTTTTGTCTTGTTCATCTACTGACAAGTTTCCTGACACCAAGTGAAAAATGGTGACAGGGGGAGCCCCCCAGCAGATGATAGCCTCAACTCTGTTCCTGTGTCCCTTTCCTCCAATCAGCTTTCAGAACTTTTGTACATTATGTAACCTCAGCTCCCCACCACCTGCTTTTCAGAACCGAGAGATCCTGTGTAAATTCTGCACTTTAAATGGATGTAGGGGTAAAGCTTCATACACACAGTAAGTTTTTTGCTGGGCTGAAAGGAAAACAAAAACTGACAGATCACTGTACTAACACAAGCCATGTTAGTACGGCGATCTTCCCCATTGTGCTATTGCGTTCTGACAGGGGTACTGCCCCCCCCCCCCCCACCACCAGAACACACCGCTCAGTGCTCTGATCAGAAGCCGATCAGCAGACCTTTATTTGGACATGCCCCTTTGACAGAAGCCAGACCGGCTGTCATACACATGGACTGAATACCACCTGATATTCGGCCATGTGTATGGGGATTAAGACAGCTGTAAATAAACAGGTGCAATGTACATAGGAGGATTTGTTTCATCTCTGGGTATCACCTGAGGCCAATCACTTCATTGGGTATATATAAGGCTTTACAACATTTTAACATAAAACTAAATTCTGCTTGTAATTTATTCCTTGTTATTATGTGATATATGATCTACATATTCTTTATTTGATTCCAGGTGTACTGTTTGTTTTATTTTTTTTTAAGAAAGATCATAGCAGCAGTACTCCTTTTAGGCAGGATGTCTCTAAAACTTCAGATAGAGGCATTCCAAGACAGCGAGTGGGGATGAGGGTAATGTGCTAAAAGCAGCTTTGTAGTCACCAGGTTTATTCCCTTCCTGCCGAGTGTACATATGCATAGAACTCAGTTAGGCCGCAACATCAGACCCCGACCACTCCAGCCCTGGCAGACTGATCACACCAAAACCCTCAAACGACACAGTCGTGCCCTGGAGTGACTATGGCGCAAAACAAAATCCCAACAAGCCTTCACCCGCTACAAATCTGCCTTCCACACCTACACCTCCTCCCTCCACGCAGCCAAACAAGCCTACTTCCTGACCCTCATCAAGACCCTCTCCTCCAATCCTCGCCGACTCTTCTCCACCTTCGACTCTCTACTCTCTCGACCCCCACCTCCACCCAGCACCTCACTCACCGCCCTTGAGATTGCCAATCACTTCAAAAACAAGATTGACACAATTCGCAAGGACATTGCCGCAACTCACACGCCCTCTCAACCCGTCCCCTCTCACACAGCTACCCCCTCATCACCCCTCCCCCTCGACATAACCCGCAGGGACTTCGTCACTGCTCAAACTCCCTCCAACCCCGTTCCCCTCACTCAGCTACCCCCTCATCACCCCTCTCCCACGGCCCCACCGCTGTTCTGACCTCCACTTCCACCCCACCCTACATTCCTCATACTGAAGCTCCCCCAACACTCCGCAACTTTGACCTTACTACCATCGAGGAAGTCTCCAAGATCCTCTCTGATGCCCGCCTCACCACTTGCCCCCTCGACCCTATCCCCTCACAACTCCTACGACCTCCCTCCCCCTCCATCCTACGCTCCTCACCCACATCTTCAATCTCTCCCTCTCCTCAGGAACTTTCCCCTCCCCTCTAAAACATGCACCCATACCCCCATACTTAAAAAGCCCTCCCTGGACCCCAATGACCCGAACAACCTCAGACTCATCTCCCTGCTCCCATTTACATCTAAACTCCTCGAGCGCCTCGTCTACACCCGCCTATGCTCTCACCTCAACGACAACCATCTCCTCAATCCCCTACAGTCCGGCTTCCGTCCCCTACACTCCACCGAAACCGCCTTACTCAAACTCTCCAATGACCTGCTAACCGCCAAAGCTAATGACCACTATTTAGTGCTCCTACTCCTTGACCTCTCTGCGGCCTTCAACACAGTCGACCACCCCCTCCTCTCAAAAAAAACTACACTCCCTCGGTCCTCAGAGATTCTGCTC